AAGAAGCTTAAGGAAGATCTGGGGAAGGTGGAGCAGCTGCAGGCAGATAAGCAACCACCCGCGTGAGTCACAGACGCACCTGCCCCATCACCCAGCAGGAAACCACAAGGGCTGCGGCTTCCCTCCCACCCTCTGAGGCTCACTCAGAAATGTCTCTCGTGGCCCCTTCTACCTGCAAACACACAGAGGAGTGACTTCTGGGGAATGTGGTTCCACCCTGCCAAGTCACCACATTAAAAGGCCACCTCGAGCTTGAGGGTGGGGCTTGAGAATTCGCATTTCGGTCAAGCTTCCAGGTGATGCTCATGCTGCAAGTCTGTGGGCCGAGCTGAGAATCACTGCCCTCCACGCGCGCCCGGCAGGACCGCCTTGGCCGCTGCACTTCATCTGTGTGCTGCAGATTTAGTGACAACCATAAATCCTCACCTCCAATTTCCAAAGTGCTTCTTTGAGAACAGTCACATTCCACAGGCATGTGGAATGTGGAGGTCTCTCAGCAGTTCCAGGAAGATGCCCCAAAGAATCCCAAAGGGACCAAAAAGAAAATCAGCTATTCACCTTGACGTCAGCACAGGATCCTCTCCAGTCCAGCTGTGAGTGGGGAGAGAGGAGACTCGGCAGCATGGAACACAGAAAGTTCAGGAACTGTTTTGGCCTCACAAAGATTCAAGTATAAGAGAAAGACTAAGCGGCTATTTGGAGAGGATGAGAGAGGAGGAAGCAAGAAACCTAGCAAACAGTGATGTAGAGGGTGAGTCAGTTTGGTGCAGCTCTTGCATGTGTGTGAACTCAGAAGGATGTGTTCCAGAGCAGAATATGTCAAGGTAAGACTGTGTCACCAGGCCAGAGGAGATGGCATGTTGAGGCATATCCAAGGGAGTAGGGGACACCTTCAAAGTCTGTGTCTTTAGGGGCTCAGCCAAAGCCCCTCCCCCTGAGCTGTCTCCCACTCTTCTAGGTCCTCCCAAAGGGTGAGTCAGCCACTCCCCACTCACCAGCCACAGCGGGTCAGCCCAGGGATGGACGTGTGACCCAGGGACCCAAATCCCTTCCCTAGGATGAGCCCATCTGAACTTCTCTCAGAGAATCTGAATAACACAGAACAGAACTACAGTCCAAAAGGGAGAGTGGGGTCAGTGCCAAGGACAGCTCCCTGTGGTTGAGGCAGGAGCAAGGTCTGTGAAAGGAGCTGTGCCCTGGAGATGGGAGCACGTGGAGAAAAGCAGAGGGAAGAAATGGACAGGCTGAGATAGACAGAGAGGGCAAAGGACAGGGAGACAGCACAGCCCAGGTTGAATTGAATGAAGGAAACGTGAACCGGCCTTCCCATATGTGATCTCTGTGATGTGATTATGAACGGGTCCAGTCACTGGAGGTTGGCGAGGGAAGTAGGTGTTCCCACAGCTGTGGGAGAAGGAGGTGATGCTATAGGTCCTGATTCTCCCAAGCATATTTCCTGGGCGTGGCTGTGCACCAAGCACCATGCTGGGTGCAGAGATGTAAAAATATGGCCCAGCTAGTAGGCGGTTTGGGGGAATACTTGTACAGAGTCATGTATTCTGGGAGCACGGAGGGCTGAGGATCTGCCTCTGCTTGGCTAGAGACCAGGTGTGATCAGGGAAGGTGATATTTGGGTTGTATCCTTCCTTCAGGGTGAGTGTTCCAGGCAGAGGGCGGAGTGTTCCAGGCAGAGGGAACAGTGTAGGGAAAGGCAGAAGTGGGGAAAGGCACAGCTCTAGCCTGGGGAGCAAAGGAAGTTGGAAATACAATTGAGAAAAAGGGCTGTAGCCAATCAGTAATGGCCCTGTGTGCAGTGCCAGAGGGGTGAGCTAGAAGTCCCTGAAGGATTCGGAGTGATGGGGCCATGAGGACGGAGAAAGCGCGTGGCCGTTGGGATGGTCTGGAGGAGGGATACAGGGCTTCTCGAGGCAGGAGGAGCAAGGGCACCTGATCCACTGTTCCAGATACATTTCAGTGTAACCAGTCAATGAGTGATTTAGATTTTCTCTGCTCAGTACTACCCTTTGACTTGGGCAAAATAGGTGCTAAGAAGTAAGCCGGACACAAAAGGACAAATATATGATTCCATTTATATGGGGAACCTAAAATAGGCCAACTTATGGAGAGAGAAAACAGAACAGTGGTTGTGAGGGGCTGGGGGAGGTGAGTTTGGGAAGTTACTGTTTAATGGGCACAGAGTTTCAGTTTTGGATGATAAAGTTCTGGAGTTGGATAGTGGTGATGGTTGCACGAATGTGCAAACGTACTTAAAGCCCCTGAATTGTACACTTAAAAATGGTGAAAATGGTAAATTTTATGTTATGTATGTTTTATCACGGTTTTTTAAAGGTGGATGCCAGGGCTCTGTGCTCTAGAGGGCCGGCCCCACCCCACCCTCCCCTGGCTGTGCCTTCTCCTGTGAGCTTTCAGCACGTAAGCCTCTCACAGGCCTGAGAGAGAGGCTGTCCTCACGTCATGGGCTGTGGAAGGGGTCCCAGAGTCATGGTGACCGTACACAACCATTCCTTTCTGTACTGACTCTACAGCCCAACCCCACAGAAGCTGTAGCTCCAACAGTTTGCACAGTTGGGAGGCTGATATAACAGGGAAGAAGACCCCCATGTTGGAGTCAGATCAGGGCCCAAGTCCCAGCTCGGTGTTACAGTCTCCCCTCTGTAAAATGGGCCTCGTCATAGTACCGCTTCACGAAGCTGCTGAGATGGTTAAATGAGACACTGCAATAAAGGGGTTAGCACTGGGCCTGGCACACGTGGGTATTTAGTGAATGTGGCTGTAACTCTTCTCACTCTGCATTCTTGGAGAACTGATTATGGCTGTGTTGAAGAGAAGTGAAGGGAGAAGGTCGTGTCCTCTGAGGGTGGAGCAGAGTTATCCAAGCAGGTGAGTGGGAGCCCCCCATTTTGGGCTGACTCCGCTAGGAGGCCTGGGTCATGCTCACCAGGCAGTGGTGTTTGCAAGTCCCACACGGCCTGTTTCACTCTGCAGACATCAGCCTCCACCCTGGGGCTTAGAGTCTAATGATAAATTGGATAGAAGTGTCTCTCCCTTTGACCATTCCACTCACAGGATTCACTTAGAATTCATTTATTTAATGGGTTAATATGTTGCATCAGCTTTGGCTGAGCAGGACCAGTGTCCTGAAACCCAACTCTGGTGTTTCTTGCTCTCTGTAAATGAGCATAAGAACTAGTATTTTTGCTGAGTTTCTTAAAAAAAAAAAACCTTTTTTTGCAATGTGGACTTTGTGTCATCTATTGCAACTTTCATAGTAAGTGAATTTCATGCATTCCCAGTTACAACTTTCATTATTATTTTTTCTTGGGGGATTTCCAGGTAAACTGCTTCCACCCTGCTTGTCTGTTTCAGACAACTTGGAAGCTGTAATTATGAGTTAAATAAGAGCCTTGCTTATGCCGAGTACAGTGGTAGACAAAAAGGTAAATCAAAACACTTTTGAGCAAATGGATAACTAGAGTTTCCAATAAAAAATTAGGACATTATAAAAATCCTCATATTACATTTGGTTCGCTGGGAAACATCTCCACGTGACTAACCCACATTTAACTCACTGTTGCAAGTACTCCATGCAGGAGTACCAACAGCAAAGGTTACTTAAAGCAACTGACACATCACGTTGCTCTAAGGGTTGTAAAATACGTATGAAATGTCTGCAACCTCCAGCTCGATTTTCCCATTACTTTGCCAAGGAGAAAAATACACATGAGATGAAACTGTATGGATTATATTTGAATCTTCCAGTTCCATTCCAAAGACGTATAATGGCAAATTTTCTAAAAGGGATCTGGTTATTTCCTAAGTCTTTTTATAATGCAGAGCTACATTAGGTTTTAGTATGATGAATTTCTACTTAAGGAAGGACTTTCTCATTGAAAACAATGAAATGACTGAGAACAATCCATGTCAGATTTATTTCCTGGCTATGGAAAAAAACCTCTAAACTCAAATTTCTGGGATACTTATTTGAAAAGTATCTCCAAAAATAGGCTCTATAAAGTCTCCTCAATGGCAACAAATTGACATCCTTTGAAGGGATTCTGTTTTTAGAAAGCAGAGATGGGCCGAGCCATGGCTCATGGATAAGGAAGGTGATCAGGGGAGATAATAAGCAAGCTGTCTTCTCTGTTGGCGTTTATCAAGCCTTCCCCCTGTGCAAGGCATTGTTCTGTGTGCTGGAGATACAGGCATGTGAGGATTTCTAATGTGGCTTGAAGACAGTTCTCAAAGGAAAACTCAAAGTATGTCTCTAATATGGCAACCACATAGAAAGTCTGCAGCCCATCATAATGACTACTTTTGACAGACACTTATTTAGATAAGTTCTTTAATGTTTTTTTT